AATTTTACCCGTAATACCCTTTGTCGTTCTTCCCAATCTGTTGTATTGTAGTTCTTGGCAAACATGTGATGGGCTAAAATTCAAATAAAATCGAGGTTTCGAACAAAGTTAGTCTCATAAGTTATTTCGATGGTTTATCGTTCGAAATAATAATTGCAAATAATTATAATGTCAAATCGTTATTCAAGTAATTATTTAAAGTAAAATTTTATTCGAAATTTTACTTAAAGATACGAGCAAAGTTATTTTCATAATTTACTTCAATGATTTATCGTTCGAAATAATAATAATGATAATATCGTTATAATAATAATAATTATAAATAATTGCAAATAATTGCAAATGATTATACGAAAAGCGAATAAACGTTATTCGAGCATTTAAATAAGTAATTATTACTTGAAGTAATAACTTTATTCGAAATTTTACTTTTTCAACCGGATTAATGGCCGACTAATAAAGTTAGCAAAAAGGATTTAAAGATGGGTTCAAACGTTTCGATATATCTTTCGTAATTAATTTCGCGTGATGATAAGTGTGTGAAAAGATAAAGGAGAGAACGCGTTAAATATTGGAAACGATTCAGTCGCAGGGGATCCCGCAATTATCCCGGAAGAAGAGAGAAGTGAAAGGGTGCAGCGATGGGGGTGTACGTGATAGGTTTGGTCGGTGTGATCGCGTTTTATGTGGCGGTGTTGGGTGTCGGTATTTGGGCGGCCGCAGTGAAGAAGAAAAAATCCCGCCACGGCCATGACGCTTTGATACTGGCTAACCGTGGCTTAGGTCCGATTCTTGGTGTCTTCACTTTGATCGGTAAGTTTTAAACAAAATTCTTTTCTGTATTCACAATATGAAATTCGAGTTGAATTCGAGCGATTGTATATATTCATTCGATTAGTCAAACGAGGATGTTCATTTGATAATATTGGAAATCAGTAGATTCAGACATTGTTGGATTGTAAAAGCTTGTTATAAATGTTGCAAGTTATAAAATAGTCAAATTAAGAATTCAATTAAAAATTGATCGTTTGCCTTGTATAAATAGTATTATCGAATTTTGTTCCTTCTGAAATTCATGGCTATGGAATCGAATATGATATTAATAATCCTGATGAATTAAATTATCAATTCTCAACTCTGTTCTCATTGAATCTATAAGTATCTTAATCATCTGCCTCATTGGGATTAGTGGAACGATATAATTTATTCAGAAATTACAATACTATTACAATATTATTCAATTTCAATATATACATATACATATTTGATTTTCTTAAAAAACAGACAACTATTCTTATATAAAATCTATTCTTATAAAATTTAAATTCCAATTTGAACAGAAGTAGATCAATATTTTTTAAAAAACTATTAAACTTAACAATCAGATTCGTCTTTATAAAACTTAATTTTTAACAAAAATATATTATTTAACATTTTAATTATTAATTATTAAACTCGAATATAATACTTCTAATGGGAAATTCTTTAGAATTATATGACATTTCCATGTGGTAATTCTATGTGTAAAAAAATATAGAATAAATCTTTTTCGTTAAAAAATTAATTTTTGGGAAAATTAATTTTAAAATTATACGATTCGCGCATTATAAATGTTCAATCTCGATACTTTAAAAAAGAATATAAACGATAAAATTTTATTCTATATTTTATTTATTTTCATACACAAAATAATCAAAACTATCAAAGAAAAATTCATTTATATTCAATAGGGAATTAATCAATTTCGCTTTCATTCGAAAAATTTTCAAGCATGATTTATTTTACCAACGGAGTTTCGCATGAAAAAATATTATTCTTTTTTTTTTTTTTTCAATTTATTTTTACATGCAGAATCATCATCCGCTATATCATGATTTCAGAAATATACCGCGTGCGTATCTTCTTTATTCTCTCCCCGATTCTTTGAACGAACATACGCGATGTTTTATCGACTGCAGGCACAGTAGGACACCGGGGAATCCAGGCTTTGTTGTCGCGTCAATCGTGTTTCTCATTTATCCCTAGTTTCCTCTTTTTATTTTTTCTCCCGTTCGCGCGTCTCCATTCCACATTTCCTGTATTCCTCCCCTCGTCACAACCGTTGAATCCATTCTAGAACCGCATTTCATTTATACACATCTACGCTCTAACCATACCCTCTCACCGTGGAAATCATTTTTGCATCCCTCCATTAGCTTAATAACACTAGGACGAGAAAATATGTCGTGGAAAATGCTTCGCTCGACCATAACTGTCCGTATTATGTTCTTTTTCTTCTCCCCCCCCCCTTCCCCTCGCCCCTCTCTTCGTTCGGTGAAGAATGAATGGTAAGAGCAACGATGGAGGGGATTTGCATGCGTTTCTGCGGTCTTCCCAATTGTTCCAGCGGCGTTCGGTCAGCCACGGGAAAATTTAGGTCGGGGGAATTGGTTTTATACCAGGAATAGTTTTAATTTTATGGTAGGATCGACAAAGGTCAAGTTGTTTTGGTAATTGATGAAATGAGATGAGATTTATTAATACTCTAATTTAAATTTACCTTTTGTTTATGATAATAAGATAAAAATAAATTGTCATGAATAATAGATGCATTTATAAATAATTATACGAGATATGATTAATTTAACGTGATAGAGAAAATAGATACAACAAGATTATAAATAGTTGAACTTTCGGTCCTGGATAAATAATTATTTATATACTCGTAGATATAATTAATAGATCACATACTTCTACACCATTTTTTCTCTAATTTCATAAGAAAGAAATAAAAGAAACGTCGCATTTCCTCGCCAGTATATAGTAACATGTTTATTAAGCTTTTACAGATGACCTCGCTCCCTAACATTTTCCCTCGAAAGAGCGATTTCTCGCTTAATCGAAGCCAACTAATCGAGAGATACAGCACGCGTTCTTTGCTCTTTTTCCACAGCCACGTGGGTCGGTGGCGCCTACATAAACGGGACCGCTGAATTGATGTTTACCAAAGGATTGGCCTGGTGTCAAGTGCCCTTCGGTTACAGCCTCAGTCTACTGTTCGGTATGCTACTAATCTTTCGACATTTATTCGCCAATGTTGCGGCGTGAGACCACGTATATGCAACGAGGACGTAAAATTCATCAATAATCGAAATAAATATTCCAAATATGATATCGAAACATTATATATATTCTTAATTGAAGCTAAATTTCTATCTAACACTTGGAAATATATATAAAAAACTTTTTAATTATTTTCATTGTAAATCAACGTGGTTATAACGTGGTCCACGCTACACGACACACGTAACCTTAATTTAGCCACGCATTTGATGAAGTATAGAGGGAGTGGAAGTAGATCGACGAGTATGAGATAATGAAACTGTCAAGGCCGAAGACATCCAAGGCTATTATATTTATCTTTTCTTCTCTTTCTCTCTTCTCATGCGATTCTGCATGCGAATTATTTGCATTCCGCGAAAATTACCTCGGAAGAGGGCTATTGTTGATAGCTTGGTAATTGTTATCTGAGGCGTGCTTTAGGAGAGTGGCATCGAGGAGTTTAACGGAGGAGGGATAAGAATAGGATTATATTATGATAGATATATCGTATTTTTTAAATATTCGTAAACAATTTTCTGAATAATTAAAATGAGGCAAAATTTAAATATAAAAAGTTCGATATTAAAATTTATATAAATTAAAATTTTTTTTTAAAAAAATTTCGCAATCGATATAATAATAAATAATAATAAAAATAATTGGAATAATTGTCGATCCTTTTTTCCAATATGATTTTTATAACGATAAAAATGAATGAACAAATGGTGAAAGATATTCTATTTTAAAATCGTCAGAAATGTAGATTAAAAATTTCTCATTCGGCGGAGAGAGTCTGGAAAATTCTCTGCTGAAATATTTTCCAGGTGAACGACCCAATCGGTGGTTCGATCGAACGGACACACATAAGCTCGATTTATTTGCACGCCGACGAATGCTCAAACCATTTTATCGCCAATTTTTTTTTTTTTTTTTTTTTTTTTTTTTTTTTTTTTTTTTTTTTTTTTTTTTTTTTTTT